TATATATATATATATATATATATATATATATATATATATATGCATATGGACAGCAAGAAAACACCGAAATAGAAAGGTGAATATAATAGACAAAAATTAGATTAAATGGTATAATTAATTATTGATATTAAATTAATGATCCATCTTTTGTCATGAGTTAGAGATAAAGAATTTCGAAGAAGATGACAAAATTTATACAGATAGGATGCAATTTACAAAAAATTGTAACATTGAAAAAAACAATTGTTGATCCTATAATAGAGTATTTATTATGCGACGGCGGATCGCCTTTTACGTAAACATTTACGCCTCGTGGCAGCGCTAAAATATGAAGCTATGGAGACGGGATTTCGTATGGCAGGACCCTCACCGCATCTAGGCCTAAATAATGCTACCTATACATTTCACCATAGATGACACGCACATATAGAGTGTTTCCAAACATATATATATGCATATGGACAGTGAGAAAAACACCGAAATGGGAAGGTAAATATAATAGACGAAAATTAGATTAAGTGGCATATTTAATTATTAACCAGATATTAAATTAATGATCCCTCTTTTGTCGTGAGATAGAGATAAAGAATTTCGAAGAAGATGACAAAATTTATACAGATAGGATGCATTTTACAAAAAATTGTAACATTGAAAAAAACAATTGTTGATCCTATAATAGAGTATTTATTATGCGACGGCGAATCGCCTTTTACGTAAACATTTACGCCTGGTGGCAGCGCTAAAATATGAAGCTATGGAGACGGGATTTCGTATGGCAGGACCCTCACCGCATCTAGGCCTAAATAATGCTACCTATACATTTCACCATAGATGATACACATATAGAGTGTTTTCAAACATATATATATGCATATGGATAGTAAGAAAAACACCAAAATGGGAAGGTAAATATAATAGACGAAAATTAGATTAAGTGTATTTAATTATTAACCAGATATTAAATTAATGATCCATCTTTTGTCATGAGATAGAGATAAAGAATTTCGAAGATGGCAAAATTTATACAGATGGGCTACGTTTTACAAAAATTGTAACATCGAAAAAAAACAATTGTTGATCCTGTAATAGAGCGTTTTTTGAGAGACGAGAAGGTGCTTCTACAACTACGACTATACTCTGGTAACTATAACGTCTTGCATGGAACGTGACCGCGTGGTAATCGCTCCTGTCTCGCCTCGCCGCGACAAACGAACGACTATAAAACGGCAGTAAAACCGAAGAGGGTGAGGGACTCTCGAGTGCAAGAGAAAGAAAGAAAAGGAAAGAAGAGGTCCAATCCCGAGTCGAGAGAGGCAGTTTGCTTTGACATTGCCTAATCAAAACAGGGAGTCCTTCTCCTGTTTCTTTCATTCGTGCCTCGGGTAAGTCGAGGAATAAAGAGCCTCCTTAGTTACGCGATTTATCGCTTTTTAATAATCAATTCGTTCGCGCTGAGAGATCGAGATGCAAATACATTTGACTCGCTATTATCCATTGTTATATCTAACTTAAATCCAAATAGAATATGACTCGATTATTATATGAAAATATAATATCGAATATCGCATAATTATAAAAAAGTATAATAAGAATCGAGATAATAATACCAGATATCCTTGCTACGTACATTACGCGTGTTATAGAGATCTGAAAGATAAAAAAATGAATGTTGAATTTAAAAAGGGTTATCAAATCGTTGCTTCTTGGCGGACCAACTTGTCGACGATAACGCACGATAGCGACCGCAAGGGGAGGAGGCGGACGGGAGGGAAACGGTAGGAACAATCGAACACGATCGGCTGGTCGATGTTGCTAAACACGGTCATTGTGCCGGGTTAACAATACTCCGCTATATCAGCAACATCGGCGTTCGTAAGTCCCAGCATTCGGTCAACAATTGGCGCAGCCGGCCGTTGCAGCTGTTGAAAAATATCCGGCCGCGCTTTGACCACCGTTGTTCCCATTTGTTTCCGTTCCTGTCGCCAAACTTGCGTGATTCGCGTAAATCCTCGATCAAAAGCTGTTCCAAAACGCACTCTGGATCACAAAGTAATTAAGGCGAAACGCGCGCACTATATCGGTTGTCCTCAAAAGAGGAGCAGAAAATTGTTTTGAGATAAAAATATAAAGTTTTTCGCGTGTTGAGTTTTAACGAATTTTAAATTTCTTTCCTTCAAACAATGTGTAATATTTTAATACAATAACATGACATATAAAGCATAAAAATTTTTAGATCTATCTGAGTTTTAATTTAGATATTAATTTAGATCTTGTATAAATATATTTATTTATATCTTTATTTATATATGCGATAAACATCTATTTCATATGGTTCCTCAAAATTACAGAATATTAGAATATAATAATTTTCTTAAATGGAGGCTATAACGATAACAATATTCATATATGTAATATTAATGCGAGATTCTAAAAAATAAATATCGCATATTGTCAGTTTTCCAATCCTGGAATCTTGAGAAACACCGATTTCTTTAATTAATCTCGCATTTCTATCGATCTCTATTGATCCAGAATTAAGAATCGAGTCATTCGGTTAAATCGAGATCTCGCGAGCGGAAGAATAGTAAGATCGCGTTCGTGGAATCGACAGCTCCCTTATTAAACGGCCAGATCGTATTGGTTCTTTCCCTGATTTGCTCGTCTCCTGTGCGAATCGAGTGCGAAACTTTGTCGGAATCGAGTGCGAATGCGCGTTGAGTCGATGGTCCAGAAGGAGGCTTCGACCAATAACGCGAGCCGAGCTCGTACATGCCCGCCCCAACATGGCGTCGCAGCTTCCGTTTTTATCTTCCCCTTCTTCCGCTCGCGCCTCACACCCAAGCGTTTGCACATTTCGCGAGCTATCGGCAGCCGCCTCCTTTTTATCAACACTAATTCTTCCTGTCTTTTGTATGTTTTAGAGCTCGACAGATGTATCACCAAATCCATACAAATGAGAAAATATAATGGTAGAAAATTTTATATATTTATGTATGGACAGACATATCTTGGTGAATACGTTCAATGGTAATTATTACTGATTAATTACATTTATTCACGCGATGCATTTTCTTCAATCGCAATTTACTACAATTCCTTCTCATAGTTTTAATTTAATTAATTTAGTTACACAATTAATATATATGTACATTTATATATATGTATATATATGTATATTTATTATGAAGAGAACAGATTGTTGTCTACAATTTGCAAAATTCATTTAAATTAAGGATCTATGTTAAAGTTTATACATTATTTTTTACACATTATTATTTTATTTTCATATTAATATGAATAATATTAATCTACAATTTTTTGTATATGTAATGTTATAAATAACTAATTATTTTAATACATTATCAAATTATCTTTATATGTTGAATTATACTGTACACTGAAAAAAAAATTGGTTATAACAATCCAAATTTAATAAATGTTGCATTTAATAAATGATGCACTATTGCAGTGAAATACTAAACGTGTAGCTGATTAAGAACGAAATTATTTAATTAATCTTAACATTTAATGAACTGAACTAAACATAATATATGCTTTTTTAAAATGTTTATAACTATTGCTAAATATTTTGTTATTATTATTATACTACTAAAACTTAAATATTTTAAAAACTATATTATTAAATGCATCTCACAGATTTTCCAGATTTTTTTTCAGTGTACGTATGCTTAATTTGATATCTTTAACGGTGATCAGCGATTTCGATGAATCTCATTCTCTTGACCTTAATTCTTGACATCGATTTTAAACGTTTAAGCGATGGAACAAAACAATAGTTGCTTAACGCGATTCGTATAAAATGCGACATAAGCGTAATTACATAATCTTTACCTGTCCTGACCGACATTCAATCTATCACGTTTCCGTACATCGAATAAGACTTTTTGTCACAAAGCCGTTTAATTCCACATATTTCTTATAGATTTTATATTTCACAAATTCTATAAAAGAATTTAAGAAAAATGTAGTAATTATATACATATATGTATGCACATATTTTAATCATAAAACTTTATTGTTGATATTTAGAAGATTTATTGTCAAGGAGTGTAATATGAGCATCAATATCGATTAATTTCAATTGCACTTTATCTTAATCTGACTTATTTAATTTAATTTATGTAGATATTTGACATTTAATATTAATATATGTATAAAGCATTATATAAATGTATGCATATAATGTGTTTATAATGTATATATCGCTTATCAAGTAAATTTGCCTCTATAAAAGTTAGTATTGAAATTATTCGATATACATAAAAAAATAAGTATAAAAAATGTTTTATTTTTAATTATTAAGTTACTTATCGATAAATATAAAGATATTTTAATATTTTATTTCACTTTTCAGATTTGGAAAAGATCGGTTTACATGCAGTTACAAATTACAATTTAGAAAATTATTGCGTTATGTATGTCCCGCACTATTAAAAAATATTTATAAAAAAGTTATATTTTATTTAAATATTCTCTATTTATTTGTAAAAGATTTATTAGAGAGGAAAAAAGTGAAATAGAAAACTCTCGTGAAAATGCTGTTAAAAACATACACAATATTATTTAATAAATTTAATCCTTAAATATTTTCGTGAATTGTTTCAAATAGGTCATAATAATTATTATTATTTTTTCACATAACTTTATTTATATTTTTCATTATTAATCTATTCACTATAAAAAAAATAAAACATATTACATATTATTGATAACAGAGAGAGAGCTAAATATAACACGTAATAGAAATTTCCTTCCTTCGAAATATACAAATTCAAGGGGATACGATAAAAAATCCTTATAGAATATACATGGTGTATTTACGTCGATTTAAAATTTTGTTTCAGTATCGAATGGAAATGACATCGAATTACCGCGCGCGCGGGACGCGGGGTCGGCTGGACGCGCGGCGCACTTCGGATCAAGAGGAGGGCTTGAAGTTGACGCGGAACGCGCGCGACTCCGCCTACATTCGCGTCGCACAGGCGCGCGCGCGGGTTGCCAATCCGGCCGTGCTCTTTCGATGCCCAGTCTCCATCTCGCCTCTCATCTCACCTCGAAGCTTCCCGTGCTTTTCGCGCGTGCTCCTCTTCGATCCAGCTCGCTCTCGCATCGTGTTTCGCGCGGGTTTCGCGAAATCGCGATCTCGTTCTCAAAGTCGACAAAGTGATTCTCGAGCAAGGAATTGGAGGAACCGCGAGGAATTTCCGAGGAGCGGCAGCAAAGTAAGCAGGTAACGACATGTTTCTCTCGTTATAGATGGTGTGATTCCTTGTGTTTTTTCCGAGCGTTCGTGAAAAGCCTTCCTCGCTGACGTTTCATGTTACTGTCATTATTATCGAATAATGGCAAAATGTGGTTTTTACACTATATTTATGTGCTTTGGGGAATTTGCTTTTCTACGCACATTCGATTAAATTTGTAATATGTACCTTGGGAGTAAGGTCCTTGCAGAATGCTAAGCAATAAGAACAGAAATAATATCTATTCTCTGTTCCTATTGGCGAATATTTTCTGTTCCGCGTATTTATTGGTGAATAGTTTTTATTCCTTATTTCTGTTGTCTGTTGCCTGGTATTGTGCAAGGAGCTTTATATTTCTAGGTTAGCTTATCGTACAGATCTGCGCTTTAATTGCGCCTTTCGCGCATATTTTTCATTATTCTCGTTCCTTTAAAATATATGTGATATATTTGTCTCGTTTAATAACTGTCTCTATGAAAAACAAAAAGATCTTGAATGCAGTTGAAGAGATTGAAATTTTATGCGACGGCGGATATCTTCTGTTCTAAACGTATGCATGTGTTTGTCGAAATTATACAACTGTGTGAATAAAAGCTAGTAAAATATCAAATTTCAATCTTCGTGTAAAAACTTCCATTCATATTAATTTAACCGTTCGTTTTATATTAATTTATATGCAAATTTGACCTGTACAATTTCACATTAATAAGAATTTAATTCGCTAATAGAGCTGATTTTAAGGTCTATTAACGTTAATTGATTATAATTATTTGTCGCTCTTCAATAGAGTTTACATTAGAGAAAATGTTACGATTTAGACTTAAGTAAAACTATTATCTCGAATGATAAAATATCTGAAATGATAAGATCAGAAAAAGAGAAAGAGAGAAGGAAAAGACAATACGCCGAGTACGAGATGAATGAAATTATTATCGCGCTCGCGCGTGAAAGAAGCCGGTCGTCTGGCGCGCGTGCCGTCGGTTTTGTATAATATTTTTTTGACTATCTTGAAGAGTCTCTTGACTGCGCGACTGCGAGATCGTCGTAAAGTTTATAAACTTCGGTCCGCGATCGGTCGACGCGATTTGTAGGGGCCCGACACGGTGTTTACTAAACAACGCGAGATAAATATTTCTTCTTCTCGCGCGCGCCATCCCGGAGATAAGCGCGATTTTTCTCCGTCACGCGGAAAAAAGAATCGACGTATCGCGGCCGATCGGCGCCGCGTGCTCTCTCTCTCTCCTTCTTCTCGGGATTATTCACGTGGGTGAATCCAGCTGTAAAGTTAGATCATTTTGTGACCACGCGAAAAGATACACAGAGAAAAATATCATTCTACTGCCAAGAAAAGTGATTAATCAGTTTATTTTTCTTTTTTTAAGTAATAGTTTCCTTCAACAAAGAATATATTCTTGATAATAGAAAATCTCATTATCATGTACTCGAAAGAAGAATTTATCTTCTCTTCAAAAATATTGTAAAATTATATCAAATTTTACGCTAACTTTATGTAACGAAATTTTTGTTTTAATTTAATATTCTTGACTAAAATACTGCACTTACTAAAATTCAGAATATATTCAATTAAATTTAATGCTTGTAATGAACTTGTGATATATTTTGCGAATATACAAACTTATGACATACTTAAAATAAATAATATTTAATTTGAATACAGTATACATTTTTCTTTGTGTAAATCTGTTCAATTTTTTGTTCATTATAAATAATGATTAGATGAATTAATTTTTGCAATATCGTCAATTTTATATATAATATTATTTTATGTATAAAATGTTGTCTCGCTTCTATCAATCATATATAATGTTTCCCGCGTGAAAATTCATAAATTATCGAATGATCTCTCTTTTCTTATCGTACGAAGTTTGATGTTCGATTTCCAGATCCGTCGAATACGCTTGATTAAGATTCCTGTATGTGTATCTGCAGATACATAATCAATATTCTTAATCGATCTCAATTTGTTAAATATTGACAAAGATTCTGTTTTCTACTAATTTTCTTTTATTTCACTTACTTGACTTTTGCGGAGATGTGCGATGGCCATCAAGCACACTTGATAAATTGTCGAGATTGTTTTTGATAAATTTCAAGATCATTTTTTGATAACTATAAGCGAGGAGAGAATGTTCATCGAATTATCAAAGAATTAAAAAACATTATCAAAAAAACAGAGAAGTTTTTAAACAAATTTTTATTTTATTTTTCAAATATTCATAATTGCCAGAATAAAATATTTTTTTAAAGCTATTTAGAGATTGAAAGTTGTATACTAATAAGCTGGAAAAAACGCGTAAATATCAAGAGTCTGTTGATTAATAGTATAATATGTTTTTACATTCATCTCTTATCATTCGCGACCTCTCGTACATAAAGTCTTTCATCGCAAGCAAAATTACGATGGATTACGAATTAATGAATATACAAAAATATAACGTTGCCTAACAAACACACAATCTAATCGACGAAAAAGGGGAGAAAAAGAGAAGCTCGGAGAAAGCGAGGACGAAGAATCTCGCCCGTCAACAGATATAAATATCTCCGGTCCGATTAGGTATGCGAATGATTGATAAACTTGCCTCGTTAACTCGCATAATCGCGACTCGCGTCTAAAAATTGTCAAGATATTCATAGGAGGTTTTTTTTAGAGAGAACCGGCCATTAAAGGGGGAGAAGGACCCTAAAAATCGTAAACCGATCGAGCGCGGGATTTACGGACAGACGGAGAAGAGTTTCCTCGTCCTCTGTGTCCGCTGCTCGCCGGCGGAAGTCCCGATGAGTCCCCGGGGAGCCCCCTTCCTTGCCGCATCGCCCGGGAGCTCTAAGTAAGGGCGTTAAGTGCTCAGCTGTTGCGCGCTCATCATCGTCGCCGAAACCGAGCAGAGTCGTTATAGAGGATGTCTCTTCCGAATGAAAATACGTAACGTCGTCGACCGGTCGACGGAGGCCGAGCACTGTGTCACTGTCGTTTAGAAGACATTAGAATCCGGATTCCGATATCGCGACCATAATTTAAAGCTGTCTCGCGTTCGTCCTGGTTCCCGGTGTCGGGAACATCGGCTTCTTCTTGTCAGTGTTGTATAATACATTTCGTCGACGCGATAAAACAGAATGTCTATTGATACCGAGCAACGAGGTCCATTAGTTAAGAAGAATTTTATGAAGAAATAAATGTATTATTTTTTTCTCTCTTAACGTCTGGTAATATTGAAAACGCGATGAAATAGTAGTTGATCTCTTATTGATTGCGATTACAGTGGAGTTGTGTCTTTTGATACTGTATGAAATTGATAATGTATGGAATTTTCGATAAATCAGCTGTGGTTTAATTTGGCACGGCATTATATTAATGATCGCATCAGCTTTTTTCATCGGTGTTGTAGGTTGTAAAATGCTTGTTGAATCGATTCAGAAAGCTGACAAATGATAAAGACCGAATGACATGCAATGTAATTTATTTATATACACGTGTTATTCGGATATGTATGTGTGTGTGTAAATATATTACAGAGATTTTGATAAATGAGTGATTATGTCTTGATGTGTGCACAATTGCTGTAGGGATCATAAATAATAATCTTTTTACTATAAATATATATAATAATAGAAATGGCAATTACAAATCTAAAATGATTCATAATATATGCGTTGTATAATAAATTTTGATTTACTATATATTATTTAAACTTATTTGCTGCGAAAATAATATACTCCTGGACAAAATTATGCGTTAATTTTGTCCAGGAGTATATATATGTTATTATTTTATTACTTATGTTTTACGATACAGATATGGTACAATATTTTAAAAAATTACAAAAACTTTTTTATCAGTCATTTGTCGATAAATTGTGTAAACTTGAATTTCAATTAAATTGTATTGTTTTTCGGCTGAAAGTTTTGTTTCTAGTTGATATTAAGTACATTGCATCCTTATCAATGTATTGATTATTTAACAATCATTTTAATTATTTCTATTTCCAATTTTCTCTCTTTTTCTCTTTCTCTCCATCTTTCATATGACAAGAATTTATAAAATATGTATGCTTATTCTGTTGCAGATTTTTTCAATCTCCGATTCAAGACATATCGAAATTTTTCAACAATTACCACAAACAATTCTTCTTGAAGATGCAAGATTATAATATCATTCTCGCGATGTTCACTGTTACATTGTAGATTCCTTTTAACTTGACTTGTACAATATTGTGTGAATTATGCTATCGATGTGAAACGAGTGTTTTTGTCTATCTTAAGCAGTTTTGAGGGAGTATGAAATACAGAAACGATTACTTCGAAATGCCAGTGAAATAAAATTCCGGACATTAAGATTCTGGTAATATCTCGGAGGATTATTAGATCTCATCAAAATCGTCGGCGATTGTGGCAATTGTGGAGAGTCTACCTGGTGATTGGGTAGAATTGCAGCAGCAGTGTCGTGTAAATGCAGCGGCGACGGCCAACACCTTTATGAATTACACGTCCGTGGACAGGCCCAGGATGGTTTCGCACATCATTCCTGTTTCTGGGGTAAGTAGACAAAACTTAATAATTTTATCTAAGGAAACACAAGACATCTGTTATAAAAATAGACGTTGATTAAGAAATTTTTATGAATTTAAAATGAAAATTATTAGTGAAAAGCGAATACAGTCGTTGTAAGAATAGAGTCAAATATTAATATCTTCGTAGCTTCGACAATCTTTCTTCTAATTATTTGTTGTCTCATGTGGTTTTCCCTCGTTTCGCGGAAATACACATGACGCGAGAGAATGATTGACTTTAACTTCATCATATACGCTTATCTTCCTAGGGAACGAAAAGAAAAAGAATCAAGAAGGTCGTGATCTCGAAAATTTCACAACTACTCGTGAATCAGATTAAATCTTTGTTGAGATTTATTTTGTGACAATCTTGTAATTTCATCGAATTCTATTGATATATATTATCATGTTTTACATTCTTCACACTTAAATTAATAAATCTTAATCTTCATAAATAGGAATAATATGTAAAAAATAAGCTAAATAGAACCTCTCTTTTTAGTTTTCGAGTTACTAAAGGAATCTAAACGGGATATATTCTAACATCAGTGACAGATTTTAGCATCGATATTATTACGTTGTCGTTTGTCCTCATCATGTAATCGCTGAATGAATTAAAAGTGGGTTATCGAGCAATCATTCCGTCGATTAATTTGTTAACGCGGCGATCGGTTTTGCGAACATGAGCTAAAAATCGATGATAACTGATTACGTGTCTACTCGTTGTGGCTCGCTTATTCAAGTCTTCAAATCAAGATTAAACATGAAAAGACAAATATCAAATTTTTTATATTTTTGCTGAAAATGAAAGAGATTTCATGTTTATAATCTCTGTGAATAATATAAAGAAATCTCTGATAATATTAATTTAATTTGACAAATTTTCTTTCTATTATATAATACTATTCGCGATTTTAGATAATCGAATCATGAATACATGCATAATCTAACATAATTGTTGTATATCAATGTAAATAAAAATTTTATATAGTTTACAATTAATGATAAACGAACAAATTAATTCTTTTTGGAATTTTCAGATTTTTTTTATTTATAAGAATTTAAGTATTTCTTATTAAAAAATGCAAAATTATTAAATGGATTATATTTTTATTTTATTATATATTTATTTGATTGTATATCTATCGACTAGATAAATAATAGATATTAAAATGAATATTTAAAATGTAGATAGAATAATAGGTATTATTATATATGTAAACAGGATTAAATTTTTTGTGTGTTTATATATATATATATATATATATATATATATATATTAATATTAAAAAAATTGCAAAGTATAGATTGTTTGATAGATTTTTTGATTTAGATTTTTTTTAAATGAAAAATCATCGGACAAATCTTTGCTAACTATTGCGCTTTTAAAGATAAATGACTTGTGTATTTTTGAATTCATTTATTTTCGGCAAAATAGTACATGGAAAATAACAGACGATAACGATACTTTTTATCGTCATTCGATAATTTAAATATGTTGTCCGTCGTGTCGTTGATCCATGTCGAACTTTCGTCAGATTCGAGACATTTTTTCGAGTGTCAAGCGTATATATAACAACTATAAGGAGATTGTAATATTGCAAATTCTGACCGGAAGTGATAAGATTGTTATTTTCGCCGCAATAATTCACAAGATAATTCGCGCAAAACTTTTTTGATACAATGCTTTACTTAAAAAAAAATCGCATTTGAAAATTAGAAATATTCTATTATCTTACTTATTCCAAATAATTTAACATCGTAAAACAAACAGCGCAATTGAAGAATCGAGTAGCTATAGCAATTCTTTTAAAAAAGATTTTTTATTCGTATCTAAAAATTAATCTTTAACCATTCCACATAATTCATGAGAAAGATTTATAAGCAATATGAATAATGTCTGTTTCTTTGTCTTTGTATCTTCTGTAATCTTTGTAAAGGTCCTGAATAAATTAACTTTGTGCCATGTACGACAAAATAAAGAGAAGAATGAAAGGCACCTGGCAAATTATATAAATCGCTAAATATCTTTAATTAACCGCTTTTCACCGGCTTGAAGCTCAATCTCGTGTTTCGCGACTCGACGATTCGCGAAACTAATACCTAGGAGTCTCGTAAAACGGGATCGCAAATTAACGATCTAGCGAGATCGTAAGTTTCACCCTGGCATAATACGATGTCACAACACCGAGTCGGTGTTTGTAAGCTTCCGGCGACGGCACTTCAAACATCGCAAGCACCAAGCCAAAAGTCTTTCGTGCTACCCGCATCTCTCTTTCTCTCTCTTCTCTCCATCGAGAGAACTTCTTTACTCTCCCTGTTCGTCGGTGATTCTCCGGTTCGTTTACCTCCGTCGCTCGGATTCTATTACGACTATGTTGTAGAATATTTTAGGGTGACGTGAATTTACCTCGTCGATGTGCCATCCTTTAGCAAAGACTCGCGTCGCGTTTTCCTCTTTTCCAATTTCGATCATTTCGCGAAGTAACTGCGTCTTTTGAATGACGTAAATCATTTCGTACCTAGTTGGGATTTTTTCGGTATATTTCTTTTAATTAATTTTAATTATTTTAATTATTTTTAGATTAATTTAATAATAGGTTTTATCTTGTATATATAAAATTAATTTTCTTTCGAATTTCAAAATTTAAACAGTTGACATAGTTAATCAAAAGAGAATTATTTTCGATATATTTTGCTCAGTTAAGGGGGTGAAGCTATATATTTTATTCTTAGGAAAGAACGAAACATCTCATTAATTTTTTTTTTCAGGAGTTGCAGCAGGGGAATAGCAATCTGGGCACCACAGGACTTAGTGGAATGCAAGATTCCCCTCATTCTCTAAAGATTAAACAGGAACCATTTCAGCTATCGCCACCGTCACCCTTACCACCTCTTCATCAAGGTATGTCTTCATCATTTTTTTGCGCCGTGCATTTTTACGAGCTGCAAATTAAATACCTTCAAACATTACGATGAGTCAAGATAAGAAAAATGCTTGATTTTTTGGGGCTTCCTCTCGATTAAAAAGAATATAAAGGCAGAATACGTTTGTTGATTATACAATCGAATTAACTTGAATATTTCCAAATGAACTCTAATTTTAATCGAATGAGAAAAAATAAAGGATCGTACTTTTCCGAGCGAATCTCGAAGCACACGGCGGTTTCGAAAGAAGAAAAAGCGGGTTGTTGCTTAAAGGCTGCGTTCTAATAATACAAAACTGTAGTCTCGGGAACGTCGAGAGTGTCGTCGCGAGGGAGGGCCAGGCTTCTTCGCGAGAAAACGACGATGAGACGACGGCTTTCCCGGGAGAGAAAAGGAGAAGGAATTGATATACTGCGAGAGGCCTGTTGGCGTACAAGAGGAAAAGAGAGAGAAGGATAGAAAATCCTCAATGTTTCCGCGCGGCATTTAGTCACACGTTTTATCTCTCTCGCATCTATGCGATTATATAGTCCTCTCCACGTTGGCCGGAGACGAAATTGTCGTCGCGCTTCTATAATTTCGCAGGGCGTAGAAATATCCCGTCATTTATCTCGCGGTGACGAAACGCAATTTGATGATTTAACGTTCGACGATTTATCGACGATTTATATCCCATGCACAGGGATATTTGTCTCGAAATTTAACAAGTCGGTTTAATATACTGACTAATGCAACGAGAATAAATCACGCACGTACATTATATTAGATGATGGAATTCAACTTTTCCCACTCGATGAAAGATGAAGGTATAAATTATAAAGTTCCATCTCATTCGTGAGCAAATTATTTTCAAACAAAAGATATAATCTCTCTCTTCTGTAATCATATATTTCCTTTTAAAAGTTTTCCAAGAGTCTTCGAGTGGCTATCGAGGTTTCTTGCGAATCAAAGGATTCGTTATCGCTGCCAAATGATCCAAGCACGTGTGGTGTACGCATTTCTTTCACTCTTCATTTTCAAGGGGACATCGAGACGGTTTCTCCCCCCGACGGTGGTCGTTTATATCGCCGGCATACGCGATTGCCCGGGGCTCGTCTTTCCGTAGGTAATCGTCAAGAACGGTCGGCAAGGAACATTTGTGGAGAGGATAATGGCGAGAGAAAGAGAGAGAGAAAAGCGATAAGCGCGCAGCTCCTTCGTCGTCGGGATCGTGTTACCGGACTTTATTATTCGCTAATCGCTAAATGTCCGGATGGATAGATAGGCCAAGATACGACCTCGCCGACACGGCTCCCGCTTGGCCCGATTAATCGCACGTCGGTCTCTTACAGGACTGAAATCTTAGACGGATATCGATGTCTCCGGTGGACGCAGACATGCGTGCGCATCGTGAAGATATAATCGTTAATAGTTTCTTCGCTCCAAGATAAGTCTATCGGCCAGAGACGCGCAATAGTTGCAAAATACTTATTCGATGAGTCAAAGGATAAAGGAACTTTGGCGTAAATTTTCGTGTTACAAATTAGTAATATTCAATATTCAATGTTAATGTCAACTGTCATATTTATTATTGTTGGTATTAAATTTAATTTATATTTCTGGTGTATAGAGAATAGAGAGCAAAAGGGAGAGAGAGAATGTATTATATTTAGTGTTTCATGTATCAAATTTAATATTACAAATTTAATATTAAATAATAAAATATATTACATTTGATATTTTAAATAGTAAATATTGAATAGAGTATTAAAAACAGTGGAAGATAGTTATACAATAAAGGAACTAATATTGATGTATGATTTTAGAAAATTATTTTGTTAAATTGTTTACCAAATATCTTTATAATATTGCACTGAGTTTGTAGAATAATGATGTAGAATAATGATAATGATTTTTCGAGTTCAAGATAAAAAAAGATAAAAAAAATCACTCATAAGCAATCTCCACATACCATACATTATCTTTTCTTTTTTCCAGATATTCTTTTCAGTTCAATTTTCTTTCTTTTCTTCTCTTTATTTACATGTATTTTTTGTCATCTCTCACGATTATGTGTATCCAGCAACCTTCATCATGCACCCCATTATGCACCAGTGATATGCTACATTTAAAAATATCGCGAACGAACAATAACGTTGCTCGAAAGATTACATGAGGACAGTGATAATGAGATAAGCGCGCATCAAGATAGTCTCATGCGAAATAAAAAATCGTTTCTCCAAAGGCACCCTGGAACGAATGCGTCAACAGAAATTATCGTGTTGAGTGAATGTGGGTTCGTGGTGTTTAAAGTGTTTTCTGTAAGAGTTATGGTGGCTAATCCGGGAAGGCTACGCGTGCTTCGGAGCGAAAACCAATGTATCTATGACAACTTCTTCGTGGATTCCATCATGGAGGTCGCGAGTTTAGATCGCTCGCATTTAAATCGGATAATATATCGATTAGTTTTTTGCTCGGTAATTAATATAGTGAATGTATTTTTAAATTTGTCATCTCTCTCTCTCTCTCTCTCTCAACTCTATTAGAGCCGAATTTCTATCAAAAGAAAAGAAGAGATCTTGATTTTACACGAAATAATTCGTAATTTTTATTGGAAATTTTTAGACGTATCAGACAAAAATACGAGAAAATTCTCGACATTTATGATTGTATAAAGTTGCGATGCATGATCTGCCGGGTCAGGGCTCGTGATCTACATCATTATAGTTTGCTCTCGCTCTATTCGCCGAGAATTTAACATCTATTATACGCGACGCAAGTTTATCGAAGCAATAAAGGCCGTACGATAAAGTCGTACGAAATAGCTGACATATCTAATTATAGGGTAGCTGATTATCGCTTAAATGCTGATATAATTACTGTTGCGCTGCGCTACGGCCAGATTATGTATATTACGGTCTATTGTATGATTATGGAAATGTCCATCAATAAGCGAAAAATTTTAGGTAATTCTTGAATGACAGATTATTTATTTATACTTCCTGATGTTATTATTTATAATAATTGTTTTCTAATTTATCTGATAATAATTATTATTTTCTAATTTGTTTGATACATTGTTGGATTTATAAGACAATTTCTATATCAATATTTATTTAAAATTATATATTCAATATATTTCTGTTTTGTGGAGAGAGAATCTTTTACGTTTATCTCGACAGGGATCATGAATTTAAATTTATCATTCATATTATGAAGCCATAGATAAGCTTTTCTCGATTTAAACAACTGCTTGATTTTTTTCGTGATTTTCTTACTTTCGATGTTATTCTAAAATTATTAATAATAGCTCTCTTTTCGGACTTGTGACGAAATAAATCGCAAAATTACAGCCGTGATAAATCTTTTTTAAGAAAGTACGAATGACCCTGTTTATTTACTTGGAAATCAGGTCACGGATATAATCATCGCTTATTTGCATCGAAATATATATGCGTAGTAAACAAGGGCAATCGGTTTGGCAGGCAATCGCTAATTTTGCGCGATAAAGACTATCACGCGCGAATGTTATCACAAACAAGCGGCATTACGTCTTGTACCAGCGTTATAAAAATTGACAGAAGCTACCAAAGTTTCGCGATAAATTACATAATGTTGGATGAAGGATAACGAACACTTCGATAATTAGGTATCTTTGTAAGCAAATTTACCAATGTATATTTTAAAAGTTATTAATAATTAGACGGATAATCGAATAAAAATCTATATAAGAGAGAATTTAATAGAAAGATTCGATAAGAGATATTTATCGCAAAGATATAATATGCCGATGAACCGAGTCGGGGAGGGGAGAGGGGGAAGGATGCAGTCCTCATCTCTTCTCTCTCCCTCGAAAGAGATCGTGTTTACTCTCGTTAAATAATCGGATTCTCAACTCCTGCGCTGATTTGTGTTTTTCGTGTTTTCGCTCGCGATTGTGTCGAGGGTGGAGGGGGGAGGAGGGAGGCTTCTCTCCCGATTAATCAATGCCCGGTTATGGATGGTGGGTACAACGCCTGTGCAAAACAGCGGTCGCGCTACATATTTATTATAGCAAAACACGATAGCGCGTTGGGGAGATAAGCCTTGTGTCGCGGAGGAGTCATCGGAGGAAGAAGACACGGAATCGTGTCGCACGACCTTTTTTATTCTCTCGAAATTCCCTCCCTTTATCTCACGGAAATCAATTAATGGGCATTACGTTGCGGATATTACGTTTGCGAATCGGCTGTGATCGATAAATCGCCGGGGGGTTTACGTAAGCAAAATTGTAGCGAATGCCGAATGTGGGGATCTCCAAGTCGTCGATGACATCGTCATCTCGGAAAATGTAACTCGAATGAATGATTGAATAATATTGATTCTCTCTAACAAGAACTGTGATCGCGTGCCTTTTCGACACTAATGATAATGAAATGTCAAGTCTTCCTAATAACGTGATAATGAGACCAAAAATAGTCTCCTAACATTTTCATTAAATAATATTTATGAGAAAATTAATTATAGAAAATGATAAGAATTATTTTATTGATGTAAATACAATAGAGAAATATAGGAAGCAAGAGAGAAGTAAAATAATTAAGAAATTAATAAACGCGAGAGAGAGAGAAACTTGACAGATAATATTACTTATACATTTTCTCTTTTTTATATCAAAAATTGAGTAATGATAAAAATTGAATCCTGGATCATGAAGTGAAAGATATTTTCCTAACATTTTGTCATTTTCTCGAGGGAGCAAAATTTTATATCTACATACATGTACTTCTATTAATTGTTTTTAATTATGAATATCGTGTATGTTACAGACAGGTTTGAATAGTAAAAAACGAATGTAAGCGTTAACTTTTCTTCTTACGTCACGACAACGACGACGATGACAACGACGATGATGCTAAGGTCGAGATACCGAATGATGATTGGCTCGCGCAAAGATATCGCGAGATAAGCCACAGTCGCTCAGATGACCCCCTGGCCCCCGGGCTTCGAGAGTCTATC